GGAGGGTGGGGGGGGGAGAGATCTACTATCCGATTTAGAGTCACGTGTTCGTAAGATAATAGAGGAAATAATAAGATCAGTGTGCTGAGTATATACGGCAGAATTTATTTTTGTGTTGTGATCAAAAATGTATGCTCTCATTACATTTATTGTTGTTATTATTATTATTAATATTATTATTATATTATATTTGTATCTTTGTGATGAACCACATTAGTTATTTTTCTTTTATAGGCCCTCTTAACCTCTTCGGACATGTTTTTTGGGTCAAGGTTATATTGTTATTATGAACGCTAGCCAATTTGAAACTACTGTCTGAGGTTTCAGAATAGGTGTCTGCTTCCCTCTATAGTTGGATTTCATTGCCTATATATAACATCCTCATGAAATGAAATTCAAGTTTTTGTGGATTTTTGCGGGGATTTTTATTGTTTTTTTGCCATAATGTATCTCTAAAACCCCTTCCCAGAAAAAAAACAAACAATGATTTTAATGTCAGGGTTTAAGAGGTTAAAGAAAGATACTCACTATCACATTCATACATAAGGTTTGCCAAATGAATGTCTTGAAACGATAGCCCAGACCTTTGTCCAATCACATCTTGCAGAATAGGATCTAGAGTCACGATTGTTGGAAGGCCGTTTACCGAGAAGTACTGTAAAATGATGTTTGTTATGTACAATTTCTTCGGCTTTTAAATAATAATAATGTTAATGACAATGATATTGATGATGATGATGATGATGATAGTGATGATGATAATAATGAGGATAATGATGATTATGATGATGATGACAATGGTGGTGGTGGTGGTGGTGCTGATGTTGATGTTAATGTTAATGATGTGGTGGTGTTGATGGTGACGGTAGTAATGACGATGATGATTATGATGATAATGATGATGCTAATAATAATGAAAAAAAAATAATAATAACAACAACAATAATAATAATAATAATAATAATAATAATAATAATAATAATAATAATAATAATAATAATAATAATAATAATATAGCATTATAGGTAAACAATGGGATTGTTTAAATTTTCCAACTACTGAAATAATATTATTATTGATAACTACTCACAGACTTTCCATAATGCATCACTGATGTCAGGTCATATGGCACATCCATAGTATTAATATAGTCAGTTCCGTATTTTAAAAAATTGTTATTACTCGTTCCACCTATCACATTATCCCATAGAATCTCAACGAAGTCGTCACGATCTGGTCGCGATTGCTCGTGAAAAAACCCAGCAGCATGTCCGATTTCATGAGCTATTATCCCAAGCTTTTAAAACGTGTTTTGAATTAAAATGAGAATTATTTTTATTTATAAAAATGGTAAAATGGTAAATTGTGGATATTAGTACGTTTATAATATATGATAATGATAATATACATTATCTTAATTACGGTAATAGGCCTAAAATAACACCAATAATAATAGATTTTAGTATTTTACTATCATTATTTTGAACAATGATGATAATTCTAATAATAATTACAGGTCTCCTTCCAATTAAAGATTACTTTTAGGACCGGGGTTTTGGTGGTCTTTAGCAGCTTTGGTCTCTATTTAGAATCCCTCTAATTAATGACCGGCACCGGTCTTAATTATCACTATTTAGAGGGAAATTGAAGAAATGATATAGTAAATGTAAGATCGTTTTATTCAATTGCTTTAGAATTAAAAATCCTAATTAAAAATCCAAACATTAATTCCATTACATGTTCTAACAACTTTAATTGGAGGGAGACCTGTATAACGATAGTAAATAGGATGATGCTGATTAAGATTAATAATGGTAATGGTAACGATAATATATTTCATCAAACACACAAATAACAAGATTATGATTCCTAATAAAAGGGACAATAATAGGATTTTAAAATTAAGTTCTGTCCAATCAACAGCTTGACATTATTATTATTATTATTATTATTATTATTATTATACTATTATTTACTATTATTATACTTATAATACTATTAATAATCATATTATTAATATTTATTAATAATTTAATCATAATATTAATTATTATTATTATTATATTCATAAATACTTTAAAGGACATATTACATAGTATAACTATTTTTAAATAGGCCGATATAAATTCATCTTTATTTGAAGTATAGATGAAACGTAAACATATGCCTCCTACAGCGATCCATTTTTTCCCTGTGAATTAATTATTTTGTGCAGTAGCCGTACTCCTTGTAAAGTCCTAAAAATCATATAAAAAATGTATTAAATAATAACCTACATATTGGCATCCGACGCCGATAGATATGTTCTGAGGCTGACTACTGATTTTACCGATATAAGACCAGCACCTACATAGAAACAGAATTAATTTTTATCTTAGAATATGTTAGATATTGCAAATGAAATTATTTTCTCCATCAAAACTAGAAAATAAGACAATCTAATATTAACATGCGGTTACTCAATGGCTTTGGCTGTGAGTACAAGATTGTATTGAATTAAATATTGTTTTTTTAATGTTGGGAACACACCGTAAAATGGCCCCTTGTCTGTAGGCCCATTTCCTATTGAGGTTTTCAGGTGGTGGGGAATCACTAATCGGGCCATGTAGACAATCACTTACTCTTTTTGGAAAGTGTACTGTGCTTTTTATTTGTAGGAGTGCAGCGATATGAACTAGGATCAAGGTTATGTAAATACCTATAAGGCATAGCGCATATGCTGAGCCGTTGCGCCTCTGAAGGCAATATGGAGAGTCTTTGTTCAAATCTAAATAAAAAAATATGCTTTTATCCTGAATTCTGTATATAACATTATTAGCAAAAAATTAATGCAATCATTAGTACTTGCCCATCTTGCTTAGTAAATAAAACTCTATCTCCAGACGATACTTCCTGGAACCGCACGCAGGTGTTAGTCTCCCAGTGCTCGATTGCTGTACGGATTATATCTTCGTTATCAACTTTGAAATGAATTATGAACATACACATTGTTAATTTCAAGAAAGGTGGGTGAGTTGGTAGCTAAGAAGTCCTACAAAATTTGGCGTTTGAATGTATATGACATTTAAAAAAAAACCGGCGACTAAAATTGTATATGTTAGCATCATTTTGGCATCAAATATATTAATCAAGACACGTATTATTGACTTGAGTAACTTGTGAATCTGTAGAAACAAGTAATTTTAGTGTAACACACCTGTAAAGGTAGATTTGAAACCTGTTTTTACATAGGTCAGTTACAACGGTTTTACAAAAACTGATTAACCGGAAATAATACACTCGGACATGCCTGTTGTTTTCCCTAAAAAAGACCCTGCAACGCATTCAAGATCGCACAGTCTACGCTCCAGTAAGCACAATCTTTTATACCTGTTTCTAAACCGTTTGTATAACCATTTCAACAGCTAATTTTCCTTACAATCAGATAGGGCAAGCCTATTTTTATAAACGATGATGAGAATCGGAGAAAAAAAATCAAGACTACCCAAAAGAAGAAGTTATCTACTTCGCCCCTAAGGAGATCATAGACTGTGATCAACTAATGGGCGTTCAGATAGTTTAAAACTTGTGAAGGATTTACGTAGATTGATGAAAATAGTGAGCGGGTGAAAGCGAAAGCCAGTGGCCTAAACATACACGGGACACCTGCAAATGTACATGACTTAAATCCATATCTTAGCAACGGAGAAACTCCAACAAGAGTCCTCATAAAGTCTAGATATACCGCTTTCTGTACGAAATGACGAAATTGCAGATTCACTAAAGAAGATAGGTTGTAAAAGCATAGGTGACGAACACTTAGGTTGTAAGGATACACGATAAGTTATCACGATTCTTAAATGGTGATCGAGCTATCTTCTTCGAACCTTTTAAAGGCAGCTTACCACGTCTCTTAAAAACCAACAACTTCAATGCTCCCCTTAACAATAAATACCAGAAAGTCGAAATAAAATGCTTTGAGTGTAGTTACCGGGCACCGAATTTACAAATGCCCAATTATAAAATTGCACAGCACGGTGTGTCACTTGTGCAACAAATCTGATCATCTTGCAAGAAATTGAAAAGATAATGTAGTGAAAGATTATGAGAGTCAACCTACATCAATTACAAAGGTACTCTGTACCCGGAAGTGATGGAGGAGAGTGAAGTAGTTGGAACATCAGATGAGGAAAATGATCAGCCTGACACTACCACTGACAAAGCAAGTGACGTCATTTAAGTCCTCAAAGAACTATTAAACAAACCTGCAAATAAAAAAAAAAGAAAAAAAAAAAAAAACACTACAGAGTCACTAGAACTAGATGAAACGGTCCACAAAATTATGAAAGAAGCAATCGCAAAAGCGAAAGCCATCAGTCAAGATGAAGGAATACCAACAGACACAACAGGACTTTCAATATACGTCGACAGAGAGAAATAAGTTGAAACAACGAAAAAGGAAAGGAGCAGCGCAAAAAAAAAAAACAAAAAAAAAAACACTTATCAGATCCATTACAGATTTCTACAAAACCACAAACTTGCGTTCTCATGGACAATGTCACTACAGCACTAGAGAACTGCCACCAAAAATTGAAAAGCTTACAGAAAGCGGAGAAGGAAAAAATTCAGAAAACAGATGTAACTTTGTAAGTTAAATCAACTGTTAGGCAATAAATTATTAGTATTCGATGTTTTAAAAAAATGGATAACAATTATAGAAATAATTTGTAGATTTAATTTCATTAAATGAGGTATAGGAGAACATTTTAAAAGAAGAAAACTTAATTGGTTAAAGGAACAAAATGTGCAAATTGCGTTGTATCATACCGTACGTAATGCCTATTTATTATTAGGGCTATTTCATTATGTTTACTTTTTCTGTGTAATGTCTGTATAATGCAAAAAAGGAATAAATATATTAGAAAAAAAAAAAGAAAAAAAAAAGATTGCTTTTCTGCAAGAAACACATTTTGATAGGAAATGGTATAAAGTGTAATGACACGTTATGGATGGGATTCATGTATCATAGTTTTGGCACATCAAATAGTCGAGGCGGGTCAATATTCATCAATGAAAGTTTTTATACAAATGATATAAAATATAAATACATAGGAGATGAGTGAAGAATTTTAATATTGAGTGTGAAACTTAACAAAATATATAATTTAATAAAGATACTTGCCCCTAACTACAAAGAAAGGGCCGCTTTTTTAAAGCTTGAAACAAAGGAACAGTAGTTAAAATATGTAATAAAACAAATGAATATATCGTTATAGGAGGTTATATGAATAATTGTATATTAGAAAGAACATTAGATCAACAGAATTATAGTTGTATTAACTATTAGAAATATTCAATTGTTAAAAATAACTGTATGAACAAAGTTTATTTAACTGACATATAAAGGAAAAAAAAAAAAAACAATTTACATGGAGACATGGAAACACGTACAGAAGACTGCATTTCTGGAGCGTGTCTAAAGCCTCCTATAGAAACGGTGACATAATGTCTACGGATATCAGACCGTCATTCTTTTCAGATCACTAAGCTATTACTCTTAAATTATAAGAAAAACAATAGGTGATACGCTAGTGTATAATAAGAATATCATAATACTGCTGTTGCTGCAACAGCAGCAGCAGCAACAACAGCAACAACAACAATATTTTAGCATTTATATAGTGCTTTTAACCGGAGTCTCACAGCGCAAAAAAAAGTATGAACTATAGAAAAAGGTGAGTTTCAAGAGATTTGAATTGATAAAAAGTTGGAGCATAATGATGATGATGATGATGGTGATGTGGAGGATAATAATGATGATGATGATGATAATAATAATAATAATAATAATGATGATGATGATGATGATGATGATGATGATGATAATGATGATAATGATGATGAAAATGATGAAAGTAATAAATTAATCATTTAACAATTGCGGGCATTTACGCAAAAACAATGATTAACTCGGACTTACGTGATTCATCGGCAATTTCATATGGGATTATAGCATCAGGCCACCGATAAAACTGACTGTTTATAGCTTTGCGTTGTGTCGGTCCCCCTAAAATCGCGTTTTCAAGCTCTTCTCGTTGTTTCTCTGTTAGTTTTATATCTCCTTCAAATGTGTCACCAGACTCTGTCTCCCCAGAACGTCCGTTTGGGTGCAATTTCTAAAATTAGATAAGTATTTCGTTGAAAAACAGTATTTTCTGTATGTGTTTGTATAATTATTATTCTAAGGAACAAAATGTAGGCTAAGCGGGAAAGGTACGACCAACCCCAACAACTTAAAATTCAGGATCGGTTTTATTATAGGTCCTAGTTCTAATACTGTAAATGCTCAAATAAATGCCGCGGCGCTTAAAAAATTGTTGGAGGTTCTAGTGCGGCGCTTATTTGAGAGCGACGCTTATAAAAATATTGGTGCTTTCCATGCCTGTTCCCATGTTACCTATCTAACGTATTCCTGTAGTTCATTAGACCTCTCATGGGTCCTACGTCATCGTAAATAAACGTTTATAAAGAAATAGGGCCTACTTGTGTCTTTATCATAGTGTTATTTATTCATTTTAATACTGTATATTTTGTATTAAAAGTCCGTTTCTCAAAGTGTTTCATTACTTACACACAGGGCAATATATATACTCTCGATTAAACGCCGCAGTGCTTATTTCGAGAGCGGCACTTAGCGAAAAATTATCATTTTTGTTGTGGCGCTTAATCGAGAGCGGTGGTTTTTCGAGAGCGGAGCTTATTCGAGGATTACGATAGGGCCTACTGTATCACCAAAAATAAACCTTTTGAATTGGCTACTACAAGCCTTTATTGCAAAATTTGATACACAATCGTGATAATATTTATCTCTTTGGTTACCAATTTAAAAGCCATCCACGGTGATGTGATGGTTTATATTTTAATGAACAAATTGTATTTCTTGTGTAGGTTTTTATAATCTTTATACTAATTTATCTTCAAAAAGGACGACCAACCCAACAATTAGAAAATCAGGATGGGCTTTATTATAATATTTCAAAAAATTAACATAAAATACTTCTTTAAAATAGTCACTTTACAAGTATTAATTTTAAACTTTAATACCCAATCATGGATTTATCCCTTTGGGGTTTGCGATGGTAATAGGCTCTGAAAATCACAGTATTGCCATAAATCAAGTCAATACATTAATAAAAATAAATAACCAGCAGTATAAAAATAACCCTAATGTGATTTCCCCGGTGACGTCACACTCTCATGCGCAAACCCATGTCACCCAACAATAGATAGAATTTGACAGAAAAAAAGACTTACTTCAGTCGTACGGGCAAATGTAGCAGGGATAAAGATAAACAGCAGTAGACCTATCAGCATCTTCGACAGAGACATGTTGAAGGTGTATACTTCTGTTCAGACAACCACTTCTTGTTTAGTCCACTGTGATGTCGTATTTACTCTCTAATATTGTTGTCAGCCTTGCTATATCAACCTCGTTATCTTTATACACGTTTACCTTTGAGTTAAACAAAAACAGTATTACTACTATGGGGCTTGCCTCTTTGACATACAGGTTTAGGGTAATGTGCAGAGTTCTAGTCTAGTTGTAGAAATCACAAAATAAATCATTAAACATTTTAAAGTAAAAAACACTCATTGAAGAAAAAAAAAAACATACTAATAAAATAACAAAAAAAAGGTCTTAACTATGGAGCCTGCACTGTGATAGAGAGGATGATATTGAGAGTACTTACCACTTCCCTAAAGAATCTGACCCGGCGGAAGTCAGTGAACATATATGTCTACCGTAAGTGATTTATAAGTCGAGGACAAAAATTGTTCCTACATTTCACGCCTTTGTTTTTTGAAACGCTTTAGAAAACGCAAATTGCGTTAAACATGACGTCATATTTCAATATGCACATTGATTGGACAAAATTTGAAGATTAAAGCATGGAAAGTGACAGATGCGTAAAAAGAGGGGAAAACGGGTTGAAAAGGAAAATAAATCGGAAAAACAACCTTTTTTATGGTAGCACAGGAAAGGTTAATCATAAACAAAAACAATAGCCTTTTCTGCTATCTGTATTTTCATGATCTATCAAATAACATTGTATTTGATAATTCAGTACCTTATTTTATATCGATCGATTTTAAAATTTCAGATTATCAGTTAGAATGTGAATACTACGACGCTAAGGCGCCCTTCCTTCTGCGATTTTCAATGTCATGCTATACCAATATGCAATTATAATTTCATAATTATTATGTGGCTGTGTCCAGCTGAAACACCAAAATCAGGAACTTGGTGAAAATATAACATTTTAAGTTTTAATTGTTAAAACAATCCTGACATAATAACCGTTATCTTTAACAGGGTAGGCCTAACAATAGAGAAAATAGAACATGGCCTAACCCATAATACTCTTGAGTGGATAAAATCAAATGCATATAGTATTAATACCTTACTCAAGGACACAAGCGAACAATGCACAGCGATCGATTGAAATCTTTAGGTTGGGAAAGCCAAACAGCTTCTGCCAATATACAGTACCAATATTTAATGTTATCTTTAAGTAATACACGTATTGTTTTATTTTATAGAAGGCGCACATCATCGGATGCCGACAGATGATGACTCGATTATAATCCAGCTTCAAATTAGCTGTTCATTCGCGTCTGGAGAATTGTAGTAAAAGTTGTACAATAAAAACGTGTTTGTGAGAATAATATTTCACCTAAATTTATTTATTTAATTAGAGACCAAATATAATTATGTATACAGGGAACAGAAAATTATTGAAAACTCTGGTTGCTTAGTAAATCTCGCCATAAGTTAGGGGACACGTTTATAATAATATGTGACCCAAGATTACAAAAGGGCTGTAAACTCGTACTCTATCAAAATATTTTTTTAATGTAAATTAATATTATTAACTTTATAATGAGGGCTCAATGACCTTAATCGGACAATTATGTGTGAAGTTTAGCTATTTTGAATTATAATTATTCTCTATAAACTAGCCTATAAAATTCTGAGCAAAAGGGCTTTAAAAGTACTGAAGAAATTGAAGAAAAATCACAGCAGTAGTCAAAGAAACTCCTTAGCAACAACACAGTTTCCATTGAACTAATTTTCTACGGTTTGCTGGAAATAGTTTGGGGAACAAAAATCTTATATTTTTAAGTCGAAATCCCAGAGAGTTAATTTGTGATACCCAGGGGAAAATTGGTTTATACCTTTATAAAGCTGAAACATCCACGTACTGATTATGGCATCCCTATTGTTTTGATGAATTTAGTAGACATAAGAAATCTTTTATTCGTCAAGCCTGGTTAGAGAGGGTGTTTTGTCGGGGTGTGGATGAAAAAGGGACAGGGTGGGGTTATGGGGAGGGGAACTGGATTTTTAAATAATATAAACATTTAAAAAATACAAGATTTTCAGAATTATGCAAGAATTTACAAGTAAAATGATCAGGATTTCTATTGTTGCAAGCTACATTGTAGCATGGGGAGGTGGTAAACAAGCTGTTTAAGCAAGACAATAATTCCTCCATTCGAACTATCGATTCCATCATTAAAATACTGGTAGATCACATTAACTACTCTGTATCTTCTTGAAAATCAAAACATTTAGCATTGTTTATGCGTCCACAATACTTAATTGAATGCTAGGCCTATACCTTTTTTTTGTGACCAATGATCCAAATCAAATTATGCCAGGGGCTGATGGGAAATTATGCTAAATTATACAAAATGTTTAATTTAATGGTTGTTTAATAATCACCTTTCTCCCACCTAAAATGAAAGCAACACTATTTTCAATACTATTACTGTATACCCAGTGGTGCCGCCAGAGTGGACGGTATCAGGTCTGATGTTCCCGACTGGAAGGAGTGAAGGAATTGGAATAAACAATTTTCCGGACGGGAAAAAGTTGCCATTGTCAGGGAATCAAGAACCCTACAATATATATATATTATATTCAATATATATTATTATATTCAATATATATATATATATATATATATATATAATATTCAATTACGTAATTAAGTTCATATAGGCATGGCCAACATAATAGGCCTAATTTGTGTTTATTTGGTCTAATCCGTCTACCTCACGATAGTATTGTTTATATTGTACAGTATACAACTTGAAACTTGAAAAAATAAATACACAAAAAAGAAATAAAATTCTTCGGAGGTGAA